ATATATATATATATATATATATATATATATATATATATATATACAGGGTAATCGGCGTTCGGGACGGGCCGAACGCCCGAACCCGAACGCCCGAACGTACGAACGCGGACCAAAAAAATAAAAATAAAAAATAAAAATAAATTTCCACAAAATTCCGCAAAACAAATATGTTATGGAGAAAACTAAACTAAACAACATTTGCCTGGGCACTACATCCAAATTCTTTACCAAATTTGAATAAAAAATCAAATACAGAAAAATAAACACTATGATAAAAATAAGAAAAAATAAAAAGAGAATTAAAATGAGTGAGTGTGCCAGCACCTTTTCGACACCGCCATCTTTGCCGATTTTTAATTATTTTTTGGCATTGAAAAATGCCATAAAAATTTACAGATATGTAGTTTACATAATCAATAACTCATTAAAAGTTTTCAAAAAATAATGAAATTTGTTAGGCCCAGAAATAAAATGAAAACAAAAAGTTCAAAGTGAAAAAAAAAAAAATAGTGAGTGGGGGAGCACGTTTTGACACCCCCATCTTTGACGATTTTTAATGTTTTTTTGGCTTAGCAGAATAGTTTCAAAATTTGTAGGCGTATAGGTGACATCATAGAGAACTCACAAAAAAAAATCGGAAAACAAAACTTAGGTTTAGGTAGGTGAATATGGTGCAGCAGTCGTAGACGGCATGCAACAGAAACATTCACAAGAATGCACACAGTGAGAGTCATGACTCATCAACAACGAAGCTTGAAATTGCCGAAACGAAAATAGAATGACAGTCAAGCCACAAGCGACAAGCCGCCAACAGTGAAACCCCGACAACCTCAATGAACGCGTAAGGAGCGCGGAAACGCACTACACACGAACGTCGCTTCGACGTTTTTGAAAGACCCAAAACTTCACTGTTACTGTATTTAAAGTCCTATCCACTTCAAAATCATACGAGAGACAACTAGCATCCAAGGCGCTGACAATGGATTCAAGGTCTGGTACTACTGTGGGAAACAAAAAATATTCTACAGGTACAATTATGATAGCCTACTTAAAAGGACAACAAAATTCAATAGCCTACTCAAAAAAGACAACACAGTCGCGAGAAAGTTTCGAAAAAGTTCCGAAAAAGTTCCGAAAAAGTTCCGAAAAAGTTCCGAAAAAGTTCCGAAAAAGCCAGACAGAAGACCGGTACAAACTAGCATCTAGACTATTCTAAATCCAAAGCAACCTTCCTTGCCACTTGAGCCCATTCCGGAGCACGCTGGCGGACAAACTTCCAGAAGGTTCGGTCAAAGAGCTCCCCTGGGAATAGCTGTTTTCGAAGCTCTCTTTTCAGAGACAGCAGCCCTTCTTCCGCTCGGTCAGCCGAGGTCGAGCGTTCCCTGATTTTGTGGAACATGCCATTAATGAGCGCCCATTTCTGTTTTGTGCAGGTATATGAGGAGAAGTCCTGGAAACATTTGTATCCCAGTTTGTCGCTGCTATGCCAAATTTCTTCAAAATGTTTCGCTCGATACCAGCTGGAAACTTGATTGTCCTCCATTTTCAATCTACAGCCCAAGAAACCCCACTCATTTTTGCCATCACCAGTCTTCTTTAATTTCAATTTTGGATCATAGGAACTCTCAAACCTCTTCACAATCTTGTCGGCCTTCCCCCGATTCTTCCCTTCCCAATTATCCCAAACAAAGATAGAAACGTCATCAACCAAACGAATCCCTTTAACCAACCTGACGTCGCTACCTAAATTCTTTAAAAACAAACTTTCAAAAAATGCACAGAGAATACAAGCAATCGGTGGGCTATTGGACTTCCCCATAGGGATGCCCTCCTTCTGTCTGATCAACCTGTCAGTTGCCCACAAAAAAAAATGATTCAAGTCGAAATCCACCATTTCTATTATCAACTGGAAACTGACTCTTACCCACCCGTTGATCCCTCACATTTCGCCGAATGAAGCTCCTTTACCTCTGGTCCTTACCATTACAAAACTCTTCCCCTTCTTTTCATACAGGGACAGGATCCAACTAATGGTCGTTCTAACTGAATCGTGGGGTAGCTTACTGAATATTTCCTTAATGTCGTAAGCTACCCCTCTCAGCTCTCCTTTCCTCTTACTTGACGACCACTTATTGACTTCCTCTAGTCTTGATTTCAACAGGTTAGTAGACTTCAAATTGAAGTGGCAGCTCTTAGGTAAGGAGAAAAGCAGGAAGTTCAATGCCTTTGTCACCCTCTGATTGGCCATCTTCGCTGGTTCAGAGAAGGACGGAGAAATTGGACGGAACTTAGCAGAGTCTTTATGTTTAGGAAGGACATACGCCTTTCCCCAAGTCCCTTTGCAGTTTCATTTCCCTATCTCCTTAAACCCTCTCTTCTCGTAATCCTTTTTAACTCTAGCCATAAGAGCTTCTTCACTTTCCCTGACTGGGTCAAAGGCTGCGTTTCCCCAAAAGGTTTCTTCCATTCCCTTCTGATAGACAACTGGGCATACCACTAGAGTCTCGGCTGTGTTTTTGTCCATAGGGCAAAACACAAGCCCCTTCCACTTCTGCTTCACTTGCTCAACAACGTCTAACAACCCTTCTTCTTCCCTCTTTCGCTTCCTACGGACACAACTCTTTGCTTGTTGTAAAGTCCAAGTTGGTTCTAGCCCTGCTTTCCGCATCTCTTCATTCAGCTCATCCCGTAACTTAGCTTCATCATGTTCACTGTCAATTCCCCTAACAACGTTCTTGGCATTCTTGACTCTTGAGTCAACATCGTCTCGACTGCTCAGTCGAAAGGCCACATGTTCCCCCTCTCGCGGGAGTTGAAGATCTGCACAACAACAGACCTTTACCAGACAACGACTTACTCGCCTGTGGTTATGGAGAAAATTTTCGATGGTCTGATTCTTCCTCCAGACCAATCGGAGCTTCTGACAATGTAGCCTTGCTTCTGCAGCAGACAAACTTTGCTCCTCAATCTTCTTCATGGACAGCTTCCTAACTTCCGATCTTGAAATCCGATCATCGTACTTAATCCCAATAACTACCTTTCGTCTCAAACTAACCCCAAAATTCTTCTTCGCAACTCCATCGATAATACCTTTCAAGGTCTTCCTTGAACTTTTCCTTGTGATACTTCTGACTTCCTGGAATAGTTCAGTAAGTGGATCAAGCTTGAGTAAGTCCAACTTCTTCGCAGACCAGGGACACTTCAGCAACTGGTACAGTTGTTTTCTCAAAACAGGATTTCCTGGTCGTCTTTCCCTGATTCTCAAAAACTTTACCTCTCCTCCATTCTCAAACCAAGTCTTAGTACTTTTCAGTTTCCTGGTTTCATTCCCAAATGCCACGTCAGACTGCCCAAACACCCGCTTAATAACACTCCAATCCTCATGCCAGATTTTCCCTCCTTCTGATACGATTATTCCCTCGTTCTTCCCTTTCACGAACTTAATCAGTACCGAGAGCCTCCCTGAGCTCTTCCCACTCTTCAAACGAAACCGAAGAATTTTTTCATCCTCAAAACATTCCCTCCTTCGTCTCTTCCTTTCCCTCTTTCCTCTTCTCCCCTTCTTCTTCCTGTTCTTGCTATCCTTCCAACCATTAACATTCAACGCAGGGCACCAGCGTCTAGTCAAATTTTGCTCAAGATTTCCCAATTCCAAACTATCAGCCAAGGCAACGGGTAAGGCCAATACGACTCCCATCCCCATTTTCTTAGCCACTGATAGAGCTTATTCTTCCTCTTCACATTCGTATACTGTGCCCTTCCCACATGTTCAGCTCATCTTTCACTCAAACGCCTCTCCGTTTTTCCTACATAGACAAGCTTACACCACGGATCCAACAGGAGGTACACGCACGAGCTAGGATCATCCCATTTAGCACGATTCTTCTCGAACACTTCCCAAACACATTCCAAAAACTTCCTCCCCCAACTGATTTAATTTTCCAATATCAGAAGCAAAATTAAATTACGAAGAATACTTTCGACTAACGGTAGTAAATTCTTTCCTTTGCGATTCAATTTACACCATCTTCGAGCTTCCAAAAATTTCGGAAGAGTAGCCCAACTCTCGGACTTACTTCTCGGGCTCTCCCTCGGGGTCGGCCAACACACCCCCTATCTGTTCTTCATCGGTTGACTTTGTCGAGGTAGACCTTGCAGACTTCTTAGGCCGATAGCAATACGTAACACGTAGTTTGGCCAGCGCATCAATTGCGTCATTGACACCATAAAACGGCAGCCCAGCTCCTCTACACATCACTTTCAAAGTTTCCGGGTAGAAGGAACCAATAGTCTTTCTCACCGCTTTTCGGAAAGCAGCTTCTGTAGCATACTTCTCTCTCGTGGGGACTCCCTCCCATGGGTCTTCTCCTGTCACTAGCCGAGCCACTTGTGACTCGGCTTTCGCAGGTCTTCCTCGTCCTTTCTTCTTTTGACTCACTGGCGTCCCGACATCCTCCATCTTCCCATGCTTCTTCGGGGTTTTAACTGGCGGGCTATTCTCCACAGCGCCTGTAGAGTCTCGCCACTTTTGTTTGTCTTTCAGTGGTGTGGCCAATTCCTCCTCCTCTTCCTCAGATTCTGCCGAACTCAGAGGTGGGGTAGCACCCACTTCTTCCTTCTTTTTTCCAATAGATACGACTTTCATCTTCTTGGTAAGACCCATCATCTTTTCTAATTTTGCCTCGAACTCCGCCGTTTGCTGGGCTAACAGCTTACGAATCTCCCATTGGCGTCTCTTTTCCTTGTCCTTCTTTTGCAATTTCTTTGCCATCGCCACCCTCGCCTCTTCTTCTGTAGCTGCTTTCTCTGCCTCTTCTTGCGCTTTACGAACTTCGGCCTCCCGCTTAGCGTCATCTGCCTGCTTCTGCTGCTCCAAAAGTTGCTTCGCCATCCTCCCCATGGCGCTCAACGAGTTTTCAAGGTCTCTACTAAGTGAGACCGTTCCTCCACTGCTTCCCTGATGCGCTTGCGGCTTGGGGCACCGACTTTTGTAATGCCCAATTTCACCACACTCATAGCACTTCACTTGTCTGTCGCTCTTTCTTCCGTAATCCTTAGCAGAATAACCACGTCGACCGTCGTATCTTTGCCCTCGATCTATTCCCCTCTCTCGTCGATCATCCCCACTGTCCCAACCTCCACTATCATATCCTCTTCCTTTGTCGTATCTCCCCATGAATCACTCCTCCGGCTCCCCATTTACGCTTAGTTCCCGTAAACACTCCTCAGATATCCATGATGTACACGAATCTTCTCCTGACATGAACAGTCACTAAAAGAACTTGGTTCGCGGCAGCCGCTCCAATCATAAACCTTCACTCGTACTAAACGCCTCAGTACTCATTCTTCAACTTGATCGTTCTTCAACTCTTAATACCTCGTCCGCTCCAGCCATTCACTTCTTGAATAACACTCGTAGCATACAGCTCCTCGCTAACACCAAGTCCGAGTAACATCCCTCGGCAGGTTATAACGCTCGATCATAGGTTAGGTTTAGGCCTCGAACAAATTTTTGGCGGGGGCCGAACCTGGAGGTGTTTGGCCCCCGAACGGGACCCCGAACGCCCGAACGTTCGGGGGCCAGCCCGGGGGCTCTCGAACGTTCGGTCAAGTAACCCTGTATATATATACAGGGTTGCCGGCGTTCGAGATGGGCCGAACGCTCGAACGTACGGGACACCTTCGGAAGGCCTTCGGCCGTTCGGGCCGAACGCGGACAAAAAAAAACAAAAACAAAACAAAAACATTTTCAAAAACTTCCGAAACAAAACTATATCATGGAGAAAAATAAACTAAACAACATTTTCCTGGGAAGTACATACAACTTCTTTACCAAATTTTAATTAAAAATCAAATACAAAAAATAAACACTATGATAAAAAAAAGAAAAAGAATTAAAATGAGTGAGTGTGCGAGCACCTTTTCGACACCGCCATCTTTGGCGATTTTTAATTATTTTTTAGCATTGATAAATTCCCTGAAAATTTAAAGATATGTAGTTGATATAATCAGTAACTCATTATAAATTGTTCAAAAAATAACAAAATATTTTAGGCCCCGAAATAAAGTGGAAACAAAAAGTTAAAAGTGAAAAAAAAACAAAATTGTGAGTGGGCGAGCACGTTTTGACACCCCCATCTTTGACGATTTTTTATGTTTTTGTGGCTTAGCAGAATGACTTCAAAATATATAGTCGTTTAGGTTACATCATAGAAAACTCAAAAAATAAAATTCAGAAAAAAAAACGTATTTTTAGGCCCCGAAATGGTTTTGGCAGGGGCCGAACCTGGAGGGGTTCGGTCCCTGAACAGGACCCCGAACGCCCGAACGTTCGGGGCCAGCCCGGGGGCCCCCGAACGTCCGGTCAGGTAACCCTATATATATATATATCATCATATATATATGTGTGTGCATATATATATATATATATATATATATATATCTTAATGGATAAATGGTCGTGTTTTCATGTGGTTGCAATTTTCTTTAAATCTGCGTTTAGCTGCTTGGTAGGTTTTCCCGATTTCTGCCGCCGATTCCTTGTTGTTCGTCCTTTGGCCGGTTCCCTCTTGTTCACACTTTGTGCATGTGGATTTTCATTTTGCACACTCCAGGTTGGACATCGCAGTTCCCTATACATGGCAAAGGAGGTGTCTGTAGAAGTGACCCTTCCCTGGAAACACCGGGACAAAGCAGAGAAGCAACTCTTCTTCCCTCACGTAACCCTCCAAAAAATTATGCGCAGCCGTACAAAGAAACCCTGATGCTCCAGAAACTCAATGCAGAACCTTTTTTGTTGTCTGGCTCTTTGCCTTGACTTTGAACGCTTCCTGTCACCTAGCTACAAAGGACGTTAGAATTTGCAGAGAATGAGTACCCCCCAACCCTTCCAAAACGTTGTAAGCGTCACCGCCAGCCCGACAGCGCAACCGAACACGTTATTATCAATGCTACACACCTCCTGAATGAATCTGATGCCCTTCAACACGATGCAAACGACCCTGCCAGATCTACACAATGTGTGCTTCCTCCTGTCGCTCTCACGACTCCCTCACTTGGGGACAATATAAACAGTCGTTCATCCCCCCCTCTTTTGTCCCTTGGCATCCAAAATAGTGATTCTCATGCAAACGAACTGCAGCATCCATCTGGGATGATGTATACTGGGGAACCTGACCATCGATCTTCTTGCACATACAAACGAAATTGGACATGAGTACCGACCGACAATCCTTCGTGTCTTGTCGTCTCACCCACTCCCTCAACACCTCGTGAAGAATAAAGAGAGCGGAGGATGATGGCAAATACACGCTATTATATGAGAAGAACTGTTGCACGTGCACATGAAAAAAAACAACAGCTGCTAGGAGATGTACACACCTTGCACTCACCGTCTCTGCCTGTCCAGCCAGTCAATGCTACAATCTACATAACAGACGTGCTGCCTGTTCAATCTCAAAACAATAACCGTTCCACTGAGGATGTTTTTTCGGACATTCCGAAGTGGTCTGCTACCTTACCGTTACATGATGTGTTCAAGTTTTCCTCGACTCAGCAGTTAGATACTTTACCGTTCCATGTTCTGCCCTCCTCCACTCCCTCCAGTTCAAATGATGAACATCGGGAGCGTAGGAAGATGGCCAATAAACGTTATTATAAAAAGAAATGTGTTGCGCGTGCAGATGACACACGACAACATGAGCTGCTCGATACAAAACTATTACCTCCGGTGGTGCTGCCAGCCACCCCTTCAGTTACTTTTGCCCTTGACAGACAATCGCGTCATGCTTTCCAGCCTATTCCTGTGCCATCCACCCCTACTGTTGCAGAAACATATGTTCCTATACCATTTACCTCTGCTGTTCTATTATAGTCGAATTATTGCCCTTCAATTGTTGAACCACTTCAAACGCCACTGTCAGACGTTCGCATCGAGCCTTAACATTTTGTTCCTATACACACAAGCAATAACACAGTGTGCACAACAAGCATACCGCCTGTTTAATCGGATAATATCTATCCTCCAACTGAAGATCCTTTTCTCAATAGTCCAATGGTGTCTGTTGCTGCTCCGCCATCACATGTCATCCTCTCCCCAACTTCGTCTATTGCTCATGCCGAAATGAAGGACCACATGAGGATGACAAACAAACGTTATTACAACAAAAAATGTGACGAGCGTGCACAAGAAGCAAGGCATCACCAACTGCAACATGCAGAACTTTTATTTGTCCAGCATATCCTTCAGACTACTCCACGACAATTTGTTCGTGTGACAATGTTGTTCACCACTCTTGTTACCATTGTGCAGCGTTGTCGGGCGGCCGCAGACCGTTCGGCCACCCGACAGATAAGGGATTCGTCCCTCAACCGGATGTCCGGTTAGGATTTGTTGGGTATTCTTGCCAAAACCCTCGGGGAAAATTGAGGGTCATCAGAGGAACCCTGAATTCCCTTGCGTCGACCGTAGGAACTAACCTTTAAAATTAATAAAATGAACGGTCATGGCTGCCGCGTCCGATGCCTACCCTTTTTGTTCGTTCCGAGGCTGATCCTGAAGCGGCCGGTTGCGGAGCGGGGGTATGGTATTAGGCCTTGGCGCGCCTCTTTTACACTGGACAATCGGGGGGGAGATGAACCCTCAAATTTTATTAAATTTAATAACAAAATTAAAAATGAGTAAATGAATTACAATTGATAAAAAGAAAGAAAACAAATAATTATTTATTATTTAATTAAATTTTATTAGGAATTGTCCTTGATAAATTTTAGCCAGGAATTATTTGTTTACCCTGGATCCATCGATTCGTATGAGTTTCTGATAATTATAAACCCTCTCGTGATTATGCCCGATTCATTTAATTACTACCCTCGCTATAGCCGGAGGTTATTGAGTGAGTGAGACTGGATTTTGGGCTACGACGATTTGGTCGGTATGGTGTAGTTACTTCGGGAACGGGTTGCAGCCACGCAACACTATTATTTTGGTGTGGACACTAGTTTGAACCAAGCACGGTACACTGGTTCGGAACAGGTACAGTAATCATTTGTCCGGTACTAGCATTGTACATTTGTGGCACGGTACGGTATTTGACATTGAGCTGGTACAGCAAGGGAACAGGCCACTCCAGTTCGAAACAATTACAGCAAGTTCGGGACTGGAACGGCACTGGCATGACACTGGGACAAAACACTACGGCCTGCCTCATTATTTCGGTACGGTAACTGATTCGATGTATGGTCTGGGTCTGGTATGGAGACTGATTGATACAGGCACGGCATTTGTGCTGGTTGGTACGATTTTTGCTCCACGGTTCATTATTTTTGGGTACGATTTCTGATTTGGCCGCATGCACGGCCCTCGTGTTGGTTGGCAAGACTTTTCCTCCATGGTTCATTGCTTTTCGGTACTGTTACTGGTTCGGCTAATCTGTCTGGTCACGGTGATCAATCTAATGGTACGACACTTAACTCAGTCGTGCAGAATCATAGTTATGACCGTAGGCCCTGTAGCATGAGCTTCTGGTACTGAAACTGGTTCGGCGTCACTACTGGTCCTGCGGTTGGATCCGCTGAGCTTGCTTGGGTTCCAATGCTCCAGTACCATCGCTGTTTTAGGTTTGTGGGCCTGGTTTTGTAGGTATTTCTGTCTGGAGAGGCCCACAGTTGGCGCTGCAGTCTAGATATAACCAGATCAGCGGAGCAAACAAAAAAACAGATTCGGAGTGTGCACGAGGGAAGCGCGCCAAATGCACCATTGAAGGTGGACTGAAACGCACCGTTCAGAGGGCGGTCAGTGAGATAGTTGTGCGGGAAGTACGTAGTGAGCGAATGCACAATCTATCGAGCGGGTGTGTGGCCGGGTAGGAAGGACGGTGATTCGGGCGTGTGGAAGTCGGAGTGTTAGGCAGACGCAACACCCCCCCCATCACCGATACGACGGAGACCTAAGTTTGTACCTTACAACATGATGAAGAAGGAGGGATAAAATTCGGGCACAGATGGAAGGAAACGGGGATCCCTGATGAGTAGCGTGCTCGACAGGTGCAACACACGTTAATCCTAGTTAACGCTTGCTCGTGGGCCGTTTGTGTCTTCGAACGTCATCGCAAGCTAGTTAGTGGAAAGGCGATGAGCCATCAAGGGGGAGAGCACTCCTATCCCTTTCCGTTCCATGGTCTGCTTTCGCCCCTGTGAGATAGCACCGATCCGAGCAGCAAGACACGTGATATATTTCAAGGTGAGGGAGAGAAGAGCGAGGGATTCAGAGAGGACCGTCGCCGCACATGG